ATGGATGTGGCGAAGTGCAGGCTTGGAGATGTGAAAGTGTGATAGCTGAATTGTAATTTTGAGGCTAGGAGATGTGAAAGTGTGAAATGCATTGATCATCCAAACTTTATGAGTTGTACTTGATCACTTTGAAGTTATGATATTGTTTCGTGAGAAACTTCACTTTGTAGCTGACAGTGCAAAAGGAAAACGTTATTTTTTAGTTAACATATACGAAACACCAAAAAATTAAATATAATTGCATCCTCATTGTTGATGCGATCACAAAATTATATTTGCATTTTAGAAAGTTGAATCATATCTACATTTATGGCCTCGTGCATTTTTACGTATATAAGCTAGAACAGAAATTTTGGTCAGTTTACATTTTTTCTGAATTTGTTGCATTCAACCATCTAAATGAATGTCATTCCAGGGCTTAGGTCTGCTGACCCTATCCTCTGTGCTGCCTAGCCTTCGTCCACCCAAGTGTATGAATGATGATAAGGCATGTAGTCCAAATTATTTCCAAACAGGCTTCTTCTACTTTGCTTTGTACCTTGTTGCAATTGCTCAAGGTGGGCACAAGCCTTGCACAGAGGCATTTGGTGCTGATCAGTTTGATGAGAAGGACCCTGAAGAAAGCATCTCAAGAAGCTCATTTTTTAACTGGTGGTATTGTGGCTTATGTTTTGGTGTGACTGTGACGACTATATTCTTGAACTACGTGCAAGATAATATTAGCTGGGCTGTTGGATATGGGATATCATTTATTTCCATGGGACTTGCTCTCATCTTGTTCGTGCTTGGGACAAAGACATACCGCTTCTACCAATTGGAAGGTGAAAGTCCATTCCTTAGAATTGGGAAAACATTGGTTGCTCTACTTAAAAGTTGGATGGTCTCCTCTCATGCATCATCTGATGAAGGAGGACTTGATCGTACAAAGTAAGGGAGATTCTGTTGAAATGGTTTGTTCATCCGTTATCATTTCAACTGCTTTTCTCATTTGTTTTCATCCCTTTAAGATCTGGAAAACCCCAATTTAAGCTCAGTAGTATATCTTCTTAGAATCATAAACCATCTTCCATTGCCAAACTTGTGATGTGAATATTGCAATTTTTTCTTTACAGTTACTGGTTTTTATAATTCTTGTGTTGGTGACAGATGCTTCAATTTCTGCATTATAATGTCATGCTATGTCATATAGCACGGAAATTTGTAAACCTTTTTTTCTTCGAATAAAATGCTTATATAAATCCAATTTGTATAGGCTTGTGAAAGATGAAGCAGCAGATGACATGCAGCAGCAAATGATATCCAAATAGAAGAAGCTAGAGGAGTGCTTCAGTTGGTACCAATATGGGCGGCATGCTTAACATATGCCGTAGTATTTGCACAGTCATCAACTTTTTTCACCAAACAAGGGACCACCCTAGACCGTAGAATTGGTTCAAACTTCAAAGTTCCACCTGCAGCCTTGCAGAGCTTCATCAGCATCACCATTGTCGCTTTCATTCCAATTTATGATCAAATCCTAGTTCCGGTGTCCAGAAAATTTTCTAGCATTCCTACTGGAATCACACAGCTCCAACGGATAGGCATTGGAATGTTCTTCTCAGTAATATCCATGGTATTAGCAGCTCTAGTTGAAATCAAAAGATTGAAAACTGCAAAAGACCATGGATTGATTGATCTACCAAAGATGACCATTCCGATGAGTCTGTGGTGGTTGGTTCCTCAATACCTTCTTTATGGCATTACGGAGGTGTTTGTTACGGTGGGCTTACAGGAATTCTTCTACGATCAAGTTCCTAATGCATTGAGGAGCCTTGGCCTGGCGCTCTACATGACCATTTTTGGTATTGGAAATTTCATCAGTAGCTTTCTCATAGCTGTCATTGATAAGGCAACTAGTAAGGCTGGAGAAAGTTGGTTTTCTGATAATCTGAACCGTGCGCATCTTGATTATTTCTACTGGCTTCTTGGTTGTCTCAACGCTGTAGGACTGATCATCTATCTCTACTTAGCGCGGTCTTATGTTTACAAAAAGAAACAAAATGCTGCAGTTTTGAATTAAGGTAATTCCTAAGGACTTTGTTGGTTGCATGTAAATAGACTGTTTTTAGAATTGATATAGTTGCATTTCTTTAGTTTGAGTCTTAAATAAACTCATGATATTAATGGAGGTTGAGCATGGAGGTATTAACGATGTATGAGCTTCTGTATTTTGTATTGAATTTTGTATATTAATGGTACAAATACAACAACAACAAAGCCTTAATCCTATCACGTGGGGTTGGCTGCATGAATCTTGTTTCTCTATTGCGTTCTATTTAGTGTCATATTTTCATTTAGTTCTAATAAATTAAGATAATTTTTATACAATAAGCCCAAGTCTTCCTAGGTTCACCTCTGCCTGACATAAGTCAAATTTAAAACATCTACTCTTCTAATGGGATCATCAGATGGTCGACGCTTAATGTGGCCAAACCATCTAAGATGACTTTCTCTAATTTTGTCTGTCACAGGAGCTACACCAACCCTATCACGGATATATTCATTTCATATTTTGTCTCTAAGTGTAAAGTCACTCATCCACCTAATCATTCTCAGCTCGGCGACACTTAAATTAGTATTATGCTTCTCTTTTAAAGGCCAACATTCAACGCCATAGAGTATTGCAGGTTTCACCACCGTCTTATAAAATTTCCCTTTCAGCCTAAACGGTAGATCAAAGCAGTACTTTTCTATCACACAAAAGGCACGAAGCATTCCTCCACTTCAAGTAACCAAATTGAATTCTACTGTTAACATTCCCATCTATATCACCATCGCTTTGAACAACAGACCCGAGATATCTAAATCGTTCACACTTTTTAATAATTTGATCACCCAAAGGATTCATGTCATGATTTTTTCGACAAGTTTTACGCTGGCTGTCGACTACCTAACGCAACCCTCCACTTTTCACATTCGGGCTTGGGACCGGCAATGACAGTTTTTCTATTAATGGTACCAATTTGGTCAATAAATTTAATGCCTTTATTGATGCTAGATATGTGGACTCCGAAAATTCGTGTCTTGTACTCTCATTGAGAGTTGTGTTCATAATTTCAGAAGACAGGTTAAATAGTTAATTAGACACTATCTTGAGATTTCATTCTCATTTTTTAGAATTTTAAGTTGAGAGCTTTGTCGTGTTTTGGTTGTTGATAAGATATTAACTAGAGATTTCTTTCCTCATTTTACGAGAATTTTAAGATTAGAAGTTCAAAATTTTTTATAGGTATAAACCCTATGATTAATTATCAATCCCGATAATGAGAGAGCACTTTCGATTAAGACTAGTCTTACCACTGAATATTTACAATATAGTAGTAGCAAATTTAAAGTTTATATTATAAAATTTATCACATTAAGCATAGAGCTAATATTGAGGTAAATGATGACGAACCTGATCAAGGTTCTATGGTTATGTCGACTCGAGTCGTCTTGGTCTCTGATATACTTAGTCAAAAGGGATAGTCGATCCAACCTGACTGAAAAATCTTTGTCAAAAGTCATGGCATTTGACATCAAATCACCTGGTTAGAAGGTTATGAACGTAATTGTTATTTTTTGTGACACTAACTAATATATGGTTTTGCACATATCAAATATACACTTATGATTCACAACTCAAAGTGAATGAAGCCTTCAGAAAAATATGAGCTACAATCATGACTGTTATTTAAAAAGTGTCATTTGACATCAAATCACCTGGTTAGAAGGTTATGAATGTAATTGTTATTTTTTGTGACACTAACTAATATATGGTTTTGCACATATCAAATATACACTTATGATTCACAACTCAAAGTGAATGAAGCCTTCAAAAAAATATGAGCTATAACCATGACTGTTATTTAAAAAGTGTCATTTGACATCAAATCACCTGGTTAGAAGGTTATGAACGTAATTGTTATTTTTTGTGACACTAACTAATATATGGTTTTGCACATATCAAATATACACTTATGATTCACAACTCAAAGTGAATGAAGCCTTCAGAAAAATATGAGCTACAATCATGACTGTTATTTAAAAAGTGTCATTGCACATCAAATCACCTGGTTAGAAGGTTATGAACGTAATTGTTATTTTTTTGTGAAATTGTTGGGTCAAATCATAAGAACAAATACTCAGACTACATGCTTACTAGCATGAGACTATTTTGAGTATGAATAAAAAAATATATTTGATCTATCATTTATTCTTTATGAATTGAGGTTAATAATAAAATTGTCACTCTCAACAAAAAGCTGTGGAGGGTGGATGAACTTTTCTTTAAGCTTGAGCTGATTGAATTTACTTGAGAATTTTTTGCTTCTTAATTTGAAAATTTAATTTTAAAGCTTAATTTAAAAATTAACTCATTCAGTTGAGATTTTCAATCAATACGGCCATCATTCGAATTTAGTGTTTGAACATATTTTATCTTTTTAATTTATTCTTATTATTTTGATATTATCAATAATATTAGATTTGCTGACTCTAATTCATATGAAGAGGATCAAACTAGTTGATTTGAACTTTTAACTTTATTTTATAAATAATTTGATCTATCAGAGTTCATGCCTGATTTAGTTATTTTAGTTTCACTTTAAAATGTATTTATAATTTTTAAAATAATCATAAATTCTACAAAAATGAAATTTGTACACATCTCAAAACAATAAGAATTCATGTGACACTTAATTTTAATTTGTGTAACATTTTCATATTGTTTAAATTTAAGAACTAGACCATTTGTTGGAGCACATATAATTTTTCAATTTTAAATATTTAAATAAATTTATAAAGGATTCTTGCAAAATTTTTATTCCCATAATGTAAGGTATTTCAAAATAATTTAAATAACCCATATAACATTATTAGATATTCAGGTTTAAATATTTAATATGAAAATCAGAGCCCACATGAGATTTAAATATCTGAGAGTTGATTACTTAAAAAAACTTGCATGCTTTTTAAAGCAACTAATATGACTTTTAAGACATGATTTTGGATTAAAAATTGACTCAAGAAATACATGTAAAGCTTGATGTCAACTTATGAATACATATTGTGGACAAGATGTATTAAGTCATTATTTAGTATTTAAAAATAGCATTTATGTGATTATAGTATCCCATAATTTATGTATTTAAATATATAATATAATGATACTTTTGCATTAGGTCATTGATTTTTATTTTATCATCTTCAAATATGATTTTAATTTGCAGCTAATCATGTCTAAATCTAAAGAGAAGCCCCAATCACCACATAAACATGCAAGTTATTAAATTCTTCACAAATCTTATATAAATTTTATATGCATTTGACTTTGTTCTTTTAAAACGTACAAGAGGTTTGACAGGTTCATGTCAGACAGTGGGTACATGAAGTGTTGGACAGAACACTGTTGCTTCATCAATTCTTTGTAATTACTATATCCAGCTTCTTTTGTATGTGGATGACATGTTAGTTGTAAGGGAAGATATGGAAGACTTGACAGAACAATTATCTGAGAAATTTGAGATGAAGGATTTAGGTTCAACCAAGAAGATCCTCTGGTATGAGAATCAACAGGCATAGGAGTGTAAGTACACTAAAGTTGTCTCACAAATAACATGTTAATACGATCCTATACATGTTCAACATGAGTGAGGCAAAACTAATTTGCACCCTCTTAGGTAGTCATTTCAAGCTCTTTAAGGATCTTTCACCTAAGTTAGAAGCAAACCAATCACAAATGAGGAGAACTTTGTATGCTTCAGCAGTTGGAAGTCTGATGTATGTTATGATATATATGTGTCTAGATATTGCACATGCAGTGGGAGTTGTCAGCAAGTACATGGGCAATCCAGAGAAGTAATATTGGGAAACAGTGAAGTGAATTTTAAGATATTTGAGGGGAGCAATCAACATGACACTTTGCTTTGGAAGTGCAGGGATTCATATACGAGGCTATGTAGATTCAAATATAACAGAAGATATAGATGATACAATAAGTACGACAGGGTATATCTTCTCTTTGAGGAACACAACACTAAGTTAGGTTTCTAGGTTGTAGAAGATTGTTGCACTTTCAAGTATGGAAGTCAAATATATTGCTATTATTGAGGCTAGCAGGAAGATTACTTGGTTGTAAAGCTTTATGACAAAATTGAGCAAGGAACAAGATATTGGAAAGTTTCATAGTGACAATATGAGCTCTTTTCATCTTGCTAAAAATATTGTTTTTCATGTCAGGATAAAGCATATTCAGCCCTGATATTACTACTCTCTTAGAAGTCAACATTTATTCTTGAGAAAACACACATAGCTTTGAATCCTTCATATATTTCGACTACAGTGGCGACTATTGATAAATTACAGCTATGCTCGGCATCAGTTGGAGTCCAAGAAGGTTGAAACTAGAGGCGAGCCATATTACGATACAAAATTATGAAGATGGTGCAGATCTGGAGGAGAGGTGTTGAGGTGCAATCAATCTTCAAGTATGAGATTGTTAAGTGTGGAGCCTATTTGCATATCAGTCACAACCTACCAAAAAGCCAACATCGACACCAACACCTAAGGGCCTAAGGGGGTGCCCAGGCATCAGGATTTGAGTGGCTTTGGGGCATGAATCCAGAGATGGTGGCGCTCAGGTGCCCACTTCGAGTGCCCATGTGCCAGAACCCGTGATTTTTTTTCCGTTCTTATGCTTCTCCAGATTAAATCTTTGTATGTTTCGTTTTTTGGATTTTCTTGTTGTGTGTTTCTGTTCAATTTATTGTTATAGATCTCTAGAATTGGTATGTTTTTCGGTGATATGTTTTTGTTTGTGAATCGATCAAATGCTAAACTTATCATCCCAACATACCCCTCACGGCCTTGAGGAAGTGATGAAGTGCGGCAAATGCAAAAGAACATGGTTATAGGAATCAAAAGTTGTTCTCCTAGAGAAAATAGCCTTCTAGCAGCCTCAAACCAAGGGCAGTCCACATAATACTGATGTGAAAAATGAGAAAGGTTAAAAAGCAGCAAGAAAAATAGCAGCAGATGATCAAATCTTTCAAACATGAAGTAAAAAAAGCTCACAAATAGTCATTGGGGATTAAATTTAAATTTTCCTTCCTTTTTTTTATTTTTTGGGTGGATTGCAAAACAAATTTTCTCAATCAACATGGCAACAGGGGTACCTTATAATAAGCTACTATATGAAGATTTACATACATACCACTCAAATGTTATGTAATTAGTATTTACATATCTAACACCTAAACCTCAATTTTTACGCACTTCACTCTACCAATGAATCAAAATTTTACTATTCAAAAATTAAAATAATTATATTTTTGAGGTGATAGAAGAAATTTGGTGGTATAAATAAAGAAATAAAATTTAGGTATTATATATCATATGTAAATATATTGAAATTGAGTGAGAAAATATTTTATGTTGTCCTTGTCATGCTGATTATTTTGCTTATTCATGCCAGTTTCTTATGTATTTAATTTTTATATTTATAACACTCTAAGTCTTTTTTAAATAATGAATATGTTGCGTGCAAGTGAAGTTGAAAATTAGGTGTTGGCTGTGTAAATATAGAAGATTTGTGTGTATATACATAAACTAATCATAAATAATTTACAAATTAATTAATTATTACAGTCACATGACATGGAGCTTGAATGTTCTTCCACTTCTTATAGAGAAAAAATTGAGTATGTAAGAATTATGTAGAGTTACGTACGTCAGGAGTTTATACGTACGTCAGGAGTTTATACAGAGGGTATTGATAGTTATATCTGTGTTATATCTCCTATAAGCTCTCTGTAACTTATCTATAAATTATTTGTAACCAATAAATATATAAAAATAGAAGCACATAATTTATTTATAAATAAGTTATAGAAAAATTAGAAGAGCCACGAGGGAATATTCTCTGAATGAAGGGCTGTGTAAGTAAGACAAATTTTACAGGGTGAGACAACTGAAAGTGATTTCTCAGGGTGAGACAACTGAACTCCCAACTTCAAACCAGATACGAGACTATCCCTAATGTCCAGCTCCGCCGCCGCCGGAACCAGTACGACGTCAGCTCAGCTTTACTCAGACTTTTTGCCTGAGCTCATGGATGGACTCATCCCTCTTCTTCCCTCCTCTCCACCCTCCCCTTCCACCGCCTCCATCGCCTTGGTCGGCGTCGTTGATTACCGCGGCAGCTCCGCCTACCGATCCTCCTCTGGTCGGTGGCCCGCCTCTCTTTTCATCATCGGTAACCAATTTCCTATCTTTATCTCCCCGATCACATTGCAAAAGTTCATTCGTTTCCTGATCTCTGATATTGCGACATCATCGCAGGGGTGGAGATTGCGGAGAGGTTTGCGTATTGCGGGGTTTCTTCCAACCTAATTACTTATCTTACTGGGCCACTTCAGGAGTCGATGGCGGCGGCGGCAGCTGGTGTGAATACTTGGTTGGGAGCGGCAATGATGTTGCCGCTTGCCGGAGCTTTCGTCGCCGATTCATATCTTGGACGTTACAGGACAATTGTGTTCGCTTCTCTGCTCTACATTTTGGTCGGCTCTTTTCTTCCTCTTCTTTTCTCTTATTTGTTTGATTAAACGACTGATGAGTAAAGAGTCTTTGGCTTTATTTGTTTTTTTGATTTTATGCACCTTTTGGAAAGGAAACATGAAGATGATTGAGTTGGGCAAATTTGTTGATGAACTATCAATGAGTTTTATTTTGGAGAAATGATGAACAATTCAATTTCTGAGTTTCAAATGCTGCATTTTTTTGCAATGACGTACGCATGTTTTATGCACTTGAAGAGTATTCTTTTCATCAGGCTAATTTGACTGTTTAGAGTCACATTATCGAGCAAATTAGTCTTTGCCATTTGGTGCATAATGGATGGTGGAGGAATTGCTATTGCATGTAGTTGTTACTGTTAGTATTTATACTTTTAAAATGATTGATATGGTCTTTACTGTCCAGGATTATGAAATTTAGGGATTAGCTTGCTAAGTTACGTGAAATATTGAAGAAAGCGAAGGGGTCTGTATATTGTGGGTTTAAAATAAAGGGTTTGGGCCAATGTTGGAGCTAGAATATATTCTTAGCTGGGGCATACAAATATTGTTTATATAGTAGTTTAAATTTTCTATAAATGATACAAAAGACTCTTAAATATTCAAACATCTTATTGAAATTCAACAGCATAATTATGTAGTGCAATATCTTTGTATTAAGCAAAAATCGTTCTGTCAATCTAATTAATTTGTTTTGTTGCTTGAAATTTTTAGTTTGAGCCTTGAGGGTAAGAGTTAAAAAGTAAAAGAGACTATGTGAAACATATGATTATAGTTTCATACACAGAAGAGAAATCTAGACATGAGATATTAAATTTATAGATTTGATTACTTTAGTGAAGGAGGTAAATGGGCTTTTCAGAAATTTTTTTCATTTCTAAGATAATGATGGTAGATGATTCTAGAAAATTGAGGATGCATTCAAGACTTTTCTTTATGCTTTCATGATTATTATTTACTTTAAAATAATTTAATACTGTGAGGATTGAATTGTTAGATCAAATTGAAGAAAAACTTGAGATTTTTCAAAAAATAGAAAATAAAATGCATGCTAAATCGTTTGGAAGGTAAGATGAATGGGCGAAAATGCTTGGGGAATGATAATACGGATGACAGATTAAGAAAAAATTAGTTCGATAAGCCTAAATATCTATCTGTTTTCTTCTTAGTTTTCTTTCGATCTCTCTCTTACCACTTCCAATTTCACTCAAATTACAAAACATAGCACAAAGATTATGATACCCAAATTGGTACCTAGCCATATATATCAAATCTAAGGGTGGTGTTGGTGGTTCAACAGGTGATTATTTTGGTTTGGCCATCACTATTCTCTAGTGAGTTGTCTTCATTTCACATAAATCAGGTAATAATTTCGACAAAAAAACTATTATATTAGGTTAGTTGGTTTTTTTATTACTTTTCTTATTTTTTTTGGTTTTTTGTACCCAATTAGGTCCACAATGGAGCCATTCTTGATTCTAAGGTGAATCAACCTTAATAAAGTGTGCTATCACTTCTACACATATTTGCCTTTCTAGGAAAGAAAAGGAGAAACTACCATATTGCTCGTCAAATGAGTGTTGACAAAATGAAAATGAAAAATATCAATTAATTAATTAATTTAAAATTCTTACCGAGTCCTTCCAAACACAATGTTTCTTTGTGCTAATTGCTATCGCCATCATATCCAAAAAACTCCACTTCTCTATCGTTCGTTTGTAGTTCGGTCACTCAGAACGACAAGCACGAAACTCCCATATTTGAGCAAATTCTTGACAAAAACCTTGCCCTCACCAGATTTCTTCCTTTGTCGCTCTTTCTAAACAGAAGCCTTAAAAAATTGAATGTATCACCGTTCCACCGAAGCCTCGTCTATCTTTCCTGTGCTCAAAATCAAAGTCGCACAAGCTTCGCCTTTGCTGTGTTGGGAGTCCTCCAAAGAATTCTCAATATCACCACAATATAGGATCACAGAATTTGAGAAAATCGGAACAAAAGTAAATAAAAAACATTTAAAGCAACCAGAAAAGCACGCAAAACGGGAAAAAATCACGAAGTCACACCACCACAAATTTCACTATGTAATTCATAATATTTTATAAAGGACTCACAAGCTTTTGCTCCATACTCACAAAAAGAAACTTACAGGACACTCCTCAATTTCTCTTCTTTGATTCGATGCGAACAATACATGCCAATATCCCATAAATCCTCATCTTTGACTTTTTTCTCATACGCAAGAAAGTTGTCGAAGAATACCAAAGGAAGACTCATCAAGCGACCAATGTTTACGCTCGAAAGATTAAAAATGAAAATTCCGAGTTAACTGTCGGGCGCTTAGGTGCCAATAGGCCAGCGGCTAAATGCTGGCTTCTCAGGTTTGCGCCCAGAAATGGATGCCTAGGCGTCGATAGACTAGCTTCTAAATGCTGGTCTCTTAGGAAATAAGACCAGTGTCTGGTTTATATCAGACGCATGAGAGCCTAAAACCGACGCATAGGCATCTGCTCTTCTATTGAGCGCCCATCAATGGGCGCTTGGGCTCCCAAAAGGCCGACGCATAGGCGCCCTATGCACTGGCCTCATGCCCATGGCTGAGACCAATGCGCCAGCCTACCTGCTGCTTGCTGCTATAATTGTTTCAGCTCTACATTATAGCCCAACAATCTCCCACTTCGAGATGAAGCACCAAACACCAGTCCGTTGTACTTGCACCTCTATCTGAATCGTCTTCATAGTTACGTATTGTGGTGTGACTTACCATCGATCTCAACCTTCATGAAACCCAACTGAAGCCAAGTATAGCTTCAGTTTTTCAACAGTCACCACCTTTGTCAACATATCCACAGGATTTTCAATTGTGCATCTTTTCCAGAAATAACTGTCTATTTTTTAGAGGAAATCAAATGAAATCATATCTGAGCTAGATGTGTTTTGTCTTGACATGAAAAGCAACATTCTTAGGAATATGAATCGTGCTTATACTATCAATGCAGAGCTTTTTAATCCCCTGCTCCTTACCCAATTCTGTCATGAAACTCTATAGCCAAATCATTTCCTTGCTAGCATCAGTAATAACAACATATTGGACATTCATAGTAGAAAGTACAATTATCTTCTACAACCTGGAAACTCAACTCACTGCTGTGCTCTCCAATGTGAAAATATAATCTGTTGTACTTTTCTTTTTTTTTTCCACTTCTCCTGCCAGATCTGAGTCGACGAATCCCTGTATATTGATCATTGTATTTCCATAACAAAGTGGTTTGTTGACTGTTCCCCTCAAATGCCTGGAAATCCAATTTACCACCTCCTAATAATGTCTGCTTGAATTGCTCATGTACCTGCTAACAACCCCGACTGCATATGCAATATCTGACCTGGTACAATTCATCGCACACATCAAAGTTTTAGCTGCTGAAGCATACGAAGTTCCCTCCATCTATGCTTTAGAGTTAGGCGAGATAGTTTGAAGTGATTATCTAAGTGAGTGCTAACTGATTTCGCTTCACTCATGTTGAACCTCTATAAGATCTTTTCAACATACTCTGCCTGAGATAACTTTAGTTTTCCTGCACTCCTGTCTCTGTTGATTCTCATCTCGAGGGTCTTCCTGGTTAGGCCTTAATCCTTCATCTCGAACTCACTTAATAACTGTTTCTTCAAGTACTTGATTTTCTCTGTATTTGCCCCTGTAATCAGCATGTCATTTACATACAAGAGAAGCATAATATAACAGTTACCAAAGTGTTTAATGAAACAACAGTAGTCTTGTCTGACACTTCAAATACCCATTTTCTGACATAAACCTGTCAAATCTCTTATACCACTGTCTCAGGGTCTGCTTCAAGCCATAGAGGCTGTTATTCAATCTGCAGACAAAACATTCTTTGTTGGAACCTTGTAATCTTGTGGTTGAACCATGTATAGCTCCTCTAGATCTCCATGTAAGAAAGTTGTCTTTACATCTATATGCTCCAGATGTAGATCGTCAACTGCTACCGGACTCAGTAAAACCCTGACAGTTGTCATCTTCACCACTTGGGAGAAGTTCTCTGTATAATCCACTCATTTCTTCCATTTGAAACCCTTCACAACAATTCTTGTCTTATAGTGCTTGGTACCATCTGACTCCTCTTTCAACATGTAGACTCACTTGTTGTGCTGTGTTTTTTTGCCATTTGGTAGTACCGTCAAATACCTAGTCTGATTTAACTCCAAATATTGCATTTCTTCATCAATGACATACTCCCACTTCCTTGAGTCTTCAACTTGAGTGGTCTCCTCAAAACATTCTGGTTCATTACTATCAGTAAGTAACAAATAATGTAAAGAAGTAGAATACCTGTGTACGGGTCGTGACACTCTGTTCAATCTTCTGACTTCTGTAGCAGACGACTGAGGAACTTTCAGTGCTCCTTCTGGTTGAGCACTTGTTCTTTTTCCATTTTTTGATCACCAATGTCATCTATCTCCATATCTGGATTCTTCAGAAGTAGTTGAAAGACTGTCCTGAATTCTAACCCTATCATTGTACATCTTCATCTTGTTGAGAGTGATGTCCGTGCTTCTGATGAATTTCTAATTCTGATAATTTCATAACTTATACTCAAACTCATCTGAGTTATATCCAATGAAGGTGCACTTGATAGATTTTGAGTCGAGTTTGCTTCTAGAACCTGCATCAACATGCACATATGCAAAACACCTAAATACTCTTAAATGAGATAAACATTTATTGTTGTCACTTCAAGCTTCTTCAGACAAGCCTTCTTCCAATGCTACTAACTGACTACTATTAATCAGATAAACCGCAGTGTTAACCACTTCAGCCCAAAACTGTTTCAGCAAACCTGCATGCAACCTCATGCTTCTAACACGCTGCGTGATTGTTCTGTCTGTACGCTCAACCACATCATTCTGCTGCATTGTCCTTGGGACAGTGAACTCATGTTTGGCCCCTCTGTATCACAGAAACTCCTGAA